GTTCGGGCCACATTGCAAGGCCTGGCGGGACGGATTTGGCCCGCGGGCCTTGTGTTTGACACATGTGCTTTAGACTATTCACATCATGAGTGTGGGACTTCCAATTTAGCATCTCCACCTCTTTTACCAGTCTTGCTGTGGCTTCTTTTTATCCTTAACTATAGGAATTCTGTTCAGTTACTCTTCAGGTGATTCTCAATGATGGTTGTTCTGTAATTTAATTATAATTTTGATGTGGTCTTGATAGGAGAGGAGCACAGCCTTTTCATACTGCTCCATATTGACTAGAAGTTCTGGACAGAGCATTCTTTCCATGGCTGTAATATTAGACATTCAGTAAGCATTTTTCTTCAAGGTCTAAAACAAGTGCTGTCAAGATTACCAAGCAATGTAGTTTTGTTAATGGGATTTCTCATCTTTGCTGTATGCTTTCGATAAATCTTCCTTTTGTGGCTAATACCATTGATTATTAAAGGATGACTTTTGACCCAATTTATGAATATTGAGTTCAACTTTAACATTATTGTACTCTATTCTTTCTCTATATTTGCATCTGCCTGGCTTATTATTGACAATCCTCTTACTTTAAACGTTTCTCTTCTGGAAATATATGATTAGCTTCAATTAGCTTGATGTAGGTGAAAAATTTTTTTTTTTAAATATATTTTATTGATTTTTACAGAGAGGAAGAGAGATAGTTAGAAACATGGATGAGAGAAAATCATTGATCAGCTGCTTCTTGCACCCCCTGCACTGGGGATGTACCCGCAACCAAGGTACATGCCCTTGATTGGAATCAAACCCGCGACCTTTCAGTCTACAGGCCTACGCTCTATCCATTGAGCCAAACAGGTTTCGGTGAAAATTGTTTTTTTTTTTTTTAATACATGAGGATATGCCACTTAAATCTGTAATAGAAGATCCATTTAGTCCTGTTTCTATCATCCTGTTTCTATCATCTCATTTAATGGGTTTTCTTGTAATTCCTCTTTGTATTTACTTTAACCCCACAGGTATTGCCTTCAAATTAAAAAAATATATATATAATTTAACTTATATTTAAGTACATTTGTATTGTTTCTTTCCCTATTTCTTCCTCAGTTGTTTTGGTATCAATGCATTCCTAATAGCAACATGTTTTCTTAAGTCATTAATTTATGTTATATAACTTTTTTTTCCTTAAACATTGATCTTTGCTCCACCTTAGGTTCCAGAGTGTTTTAAAGTTCAACCAATGTGTCAAAGCATGGCATATGACAGCTGAAGGAAAAGGCAACCTTTGGTAAGTGAAAGCAGATATTGAGATAGGCTGAGTTGCTCTTGGATATGGCCTTACATTAGGAGTGCTTCCAGCAGAAAATATTCAGCCAGACAGTGACTTAAACTAGCAAAACATTTTTTTGCAGTTTTATTGATATATAATTGACATATAACATATGTAAGTTAAGGGATAAAGTGTGATTTGAAACATGTATATATTGCAAAATTACAATAAAGTTTGTTAACACCTCCATCACCTCATATAATTATCTTCGTGTGTGTGTGTGTGTGTGTGTGTGTGTGTGTGTGTGTGAGAGAGAGAGAGAGAGAGAGAGAAGAGAGATAATACCACACTCTCAGCAATTTTCAAACATGTAATACAGTATTAACTATAGTCACGATGCTGTACATCAGTACTTATCTTCTAACTGGAAATTTGTACCGTTTCACCAACATCTCTCCATTTTCCCCACCTTCTAACCCCTGATAGCCATCATTCTACTCTCTATTTCTATGAGTTGGCATTTTTAGGTTCCATATGTGAGAACACACAGCATTTGTCTTCTCTGTTTCACTTTGCATAATGCCCTCAAGGTCCATCCATGTTGCCACAAAAAGATTTCCTTTTCTTAATGGGTGAATACTATCTCTTTATTCATCGGTTTCCATGTCTTGTCTATTGTGAATAATGATGCAATGAATATGGGGGAGCGGTTACATCTTTGACAGAGTGATTTTTTTCCCCTTTGGATATATAACCAGAAGTGGAATGGCTGGATCATATGGTAGCTCTATTTTTAATTTTTTGAGGAACCACCATACCATTTTCCTTCGTGGCTGCACCAATTTATATTCCCACCAATAATAGTGCATAAAAACATTTATTGTTTATTCAGCAGAGGAAGCAGTCTCAGGAATTTTATAGCAGTTCAATATTATAGATTTAGAATATTTTCCTTTTCCTACTTGGCCATCCTCCATACACTGGCCTTTATCATCCACTGGTTTGGGACTAGGATTGTGGCTGTCATTTTGGCAAGCATCGCAACATAATTGAAGCATCTCAAACTGGAAGAATCAGGACAGAGACATAGAGATTTTCACTTCAAGCAGATGTTTGTTTAAATCAGGGAAACAAGTCTTTCTTGTAGGTCCTTAACAGATATTACCCAAAATGGGGTAGTAGCATGACCAACTCAGCTCAATCACTGCAAAGAGAATATTGTCATAATTGACTTAGACCAATCATGATTCATCACTAAGGACTGGGACTCAGGAAGACCAAACAGAAAATTGTATATTCTGCTAGTGTTTGTGTTCTTCTTGTAATAGCCACTGTTTGAAGATTAACCCATTCATACAGGCATAGATACATCAAGCTATGGCTAATTAATGCAATAGTGTTCTGAGGAAACATTTTAAACTATATATGAGTATAGTTTAAAATGTATATACACCTTAACAGCTGATAACTCAACTTTGAAAATAAAATATATTTTAATAAACACTGCCTTTATAATTATTTAATGGGTTCATATGCTTTATCCTATATAATAAAAGCATAATATTCAAATCAACCAAATGGCTGGGGGTGGGGGAGGATTGGTGAGCAGGTGGTGCCAGGCCAGCCAAGGTGTGTGCCAGTGGGCAGAAGGAGGGGATGGTGATCAGGGTGGTGGTAACAACCAGCGGAGGAGGATGGTTGATGGGGGGGGGGGGGCGCACAGCGAGTGCCAGCTGCATGCTGGCCAGTGCAGTCCTGATTGTCCCTCCCAGTTGCCTCCCACAGAGGGAGGCCAGACTGTGGCTTAGGGAAATCCCCTAAGGGGTTCCAGACTGTGAGAGGGTGCAGGCTGGACTGAGGATCCCCCCCACCCCAGAGCATAAATTTTTGTGCACCAGGCCTCTAGTCCTATCTAATAAAGAGGGACTACGCTAATTGACCATCAAACCCTCACAAATGGTGGGGCCCACAGCCAATAAAGAGGGAATATGCTAATTGACTTCCACACCCGCAGAAGATGGTGGCAACCAGTCCCTATAGCCCTGCCTCATCCAGCTGGAGTCCCCCAGTCTCCTCAGCCCTGCCTCATCCAGTTTCAGTCCCCCAGTCCCCTCAGTCCTGCTTCATTCAACCTCAGATCCCAAGTTCCCTCAACCCCACTGGGGAAGGGAGTTGGGGGTGATCGGGCCAGCAGGGGAGGGAAGTTGGAGGCGATTAGGCCAGCAGGGGAGGGCAGTTGGGGAGGATTATGCTGACAGTGGAGCAGTTAGGCATCAATCAGGCTGGCAGGGGAGCTAGGTTAGGGGGCTATCAGGCAGGCAGGCAGAGTAGTTAGGAGCCAGCAGTCCCAGACTGTAAGAGGGATGTCCAACTGTTGGTTTAGGACTGATCAGTCCTAAACCAGCAATCGGACATTCCCCGAGGGGTCCAAGATTGGAAAGGGTGCAGGCTGGGCTGAGGGACACCACCCCCCATGTACGGATTTGGAGCATTGGGCCTCTAGCATATACAATATATAGAAGATGAACAGTCTTGCCTGTTTCCAGCTTTGACTCAAGTTAGAGCAACACCAGGATTCACAATGCAGTGAAAACAGCATGGAGTTGGAGGAAGCCAGACATGATTCAACTCTGATTCTACTACATGTCACCTCTGTCACCTTGGGCAAGGGACTTAACCCCACATCTCAGTTTTCTCAACTGTAAAATATGAAGACATCTTCCATATAAAGTAGTTGTGAGGATTAAATGAGATAATGTATGGAAATTGTACAGATGTGTGATGATTAATAAGTACAGTCTGGTAGTGATTAGGCCTATGTAGATAGATATATGTATATATGACAAATGTTATAAAAGAAATATAACTAAGCCCTGCAGGTTAAGTAACTGAGCAAGCATTTGAAAAGAATGGTAGCAAATGAAAGAACATTAATACAATGATGAGACATTTCTTTCAAATTGATATCAACTATACTGCATACCAGAGGCAAAGAGTAAAAATTGGATCACTTTCATATTGAGGGTTACCTAATGATTTCCTGATGTAACACTTGGAATAATGGAATTTTTTAAAACAATAAAGCTTATAATATAAATTATTAGGAAGCTTCCAGTGACTTAACAGGGAAACTAATGAGAACATTTGTTAGCTATTTTTTAATTATGTTATGTGAGAATGATCATTATAAAACAGGAGCTCACAGTTAGTGAATACTTCAATTCCAAGTTTGGTTCCTGTACTTTACATGGATCAGTTGTTTCATGCCTACAACAATCCCATGAGGTAAGTACCATTATTTTCTCCATTTTTCTAATGAGAAAACAAGGACTAGAGAGATTAAATGATTTTCCCAAGGTTGGGAAGCTAGTAATAGGCAAAAACTCAACAATTATGCTCTTTACTGCATCATTGTATAGCATTCATATGCATAGCAGGATAAGTTTATCTTTTTGCCTATAAGGAAGAGAGGGGGAGGGGAACTAGTATTACCACCATGGCAGCCTGGATAAAGCATCCCACTGCATTTCCCCACAGCACTGTAATAGTAAGACTAGTGAATTCCATCTTTCAAAAAGCTTGGTGAACCCAACAAAATGTTTGAAACAAATATGAAATTTAATTTTAGACATAGCAAGTTCAAATCACTAGATATCAGCAAAGAACAGAATTTGTTCTACCATTGGAAACAGTGTAATCTCCAAGTGAAAAAACAATTTTCAAGGAAGTAGACACATAATTTGAAGATACTTTATTAAGATCAAAGGTTTTCCATTACATTTATTTATAAATTTTTACTAGTCAAAAAGAAAATAAATAATAAAAATCTATCTTCAGAAATCTTTTAACAACATTGTTTTATAAATCTGAGAAGTTTCCATGTTCATCAATTTTAAATTATTATCATTTAGATATATACACATAATACCAGGAATGTCAGCCTTAAAGAATAAAAAACATCTACTGATAGGTAAAATAATGGTAAAATATTGTATTTCAATTCCACCTTTTTATTTTTAACTGACTCTCATTTTTAATCATGAGAATATACAAATATCTTTTTGATCTTGGATTAAATATATGGATTTAAAAAACATTCCTCTTCTCTCAAATAGTGGCTGACACTCTGTTTTGGGAGCAAATTACTTAAAGAACTAGTACAGTGAGGTGCACAGCCCATCACTTCCTTGCTGGAGGAGTTTGGGGTGCAGACAGTACAGAATCAAGAGCCTGTGTGACAGTTATCAACCAGCCCCTTGGAGCCGGCACTGCCTTATTAAACTGTAACCATATCCTTTGTAAGCATCAAGTGGCTATGTAAACTTCACCTGTCAGACCATGTACACTACCTAGATAAAGGATTTCTCAAGTACTCCCTTTACACTATTTTCAAAAATATTATTTAACTCTAGTCTAAAAAAGAAGAAAGGTTTGGATAGTTACATTTTTATAACACCTCCAGTCCCCAAAAGAAAAAGGATTCAGTCTCCACCATCTTACACTATCTCTACCCCCACAGTAAAGAACTGAGACAGTTATCTGCAAATAAAAAAAAAATTCCATGTACATATTTCAGAAAAAAGAACTTGAATTGCCAAATTATTTATATGATTGCCTAAATTATATATTTCCCATTACTCTTTGTATAGGATATTGTTATCAATAGTCAAACCATTTAAGTAAGACTTGACCAGCACACAATTTTGAGTATGGCTTTAGGATTGGATTTGGCAATCCTTCCCCCTCTTTTTAAAAAGTATATTGCTTACTATTTAGTTAATAAACATAGAAATCATTGTTTGAATTATGTTGTTAAGTGATACTTAGTCTGATTATCTAAATATGTTGGTGTGTGTGTCAGGATCATTTTATCTCTGTTTCTAAAATGAAATCTGACATGTCTGAAGGAAATCCAGTGAATAATGCTACCAAATGTCCAGTGCACATATAACACACTAGTGAGTCTATCTGTGTATGAATAAAGGTCAAATATTTACATGGAATGCTGACCCTGACTTATAAAACTACTATTTTAAGTTATGCCATCTATACATATAATTTATTTTCTGAATATCCCCATTTAATAATTAAAAATATGCCTCATATAGTTCACAAATATATAAAATTTTACTGCATTCTATTTTTCTTTAAACATGACATCTAAACTCTCTTTTATAAATCAACAAAAACCTTTCTTTTTTTCTGGCTGAAAGTCACAGATGCAAAGATTTTTTTTATTGGCAGGATCTGACTGCATGCAAGAATGACAGGACATATTCTAATATAACTTATGAACATTTCTACTATTTTGAGCTATATAATTTATTTGCTGGAGATCAGTAGTGTAAAAGAAAATAAGAGGTTCCATCTAAAAACTTATAACAGCCTTTTTAAAAATTCTTTAAAAATAGCAAGATTAGGGTAGTATCTGGCCAGTGTTAAGAATTATTTTGGTGAAGAAATAAGTTAACAATACATGACAAGTTTTCTGAAGTACATCTTTGTACAATTTAAATATATGGTTATAAACTGTGCATATATAACATTTTTGTCATTAACTGTATCTTCTTTAACTATACCAGAAATATGTCAAACCCCTGCTTTTAGAATAGGAATCACATTCTTAAAATTTTTCGGGAAAATCCAAAGCCAATTAGAAAAACAAAACACTTTTTGGTGACTCTAGAAATGATACCTAAGGATATACAAATAAAAATGTCCTTTTGTAATCATTTCTTGCATCAAGATATAAACATTTTAAAATCAATTCTATAAGTAAAAATTTAGGTTACACATATAATAAAATTTAACCCTATCTTCCCTTATTAAATATGTATTGAGTACAGATATGTACTCATAAGTCCTCTTAAGCTATAACAAGAAGGCCATAAGATAGGTTTTCACTAATTCTTTTAAGAATGATTTTTAAATACACACACTGGTCCTCAAATAATGCCCTTTTGTTCAACGTAAGTTTCACTATAACATTGATGAGATGCCACAGGAACTTAACTCCTGCTAATATCAATTAGCTTATGGTAAAATTGGTTTCCTTATAGGTTATTAAACACCCACTATCAATGACATTAAATGAGGACTTACTGTACTGCATATCCATAAGAAAAAGCTTGCATATTTTAGAATATGATGATCTATCCAAAACCTAGCAAAGCTGTCCTGTCTGCCTGGAGCTGTTCAAGGCTGCTGAATTGATTCTTTGCAAGTGCTAATGAGCAGACTTGATGGCTGATCAGCTGATCTCTAATATTTATTCTCTAGCTATGTGTCTCTAAAAAGGTCAACCTCATCTCAGAGACAGAGCTATATGTAAAGACAGAAAGTTCAAAACTGCTCAGAATACAGTACTGAAATTTCAATTTTGGATCTTATATTCAAACATTGTGTTTGAAATAAGGCTATAAAAAGATACAAAACAAAACCAACATTCAATTTTAACCAAGATTGCACATCTATGACTGATATATCGATTTTTTTAAAATACCCTACCACCAAAATGGTAACTGATCTAATCATTACTCTACAATCAATGGCTATTTCCCTTAGTTATGAATGTAACCAGCTCACTGGGACCCAATGAGTCTCTGTCTCCAATTTGTCAAAGGTTGTTTTTAGTTCTTTGAATGCCATGGTGAGATCATCATTAACTATAATTTTGTCAAAGAGATGACCATACTGACTTTCCATTATCTGCGCTGATTTAATCATTTCTTGAAAGTCTTCTTCCTACAAAAGGAAGTATTTTTTTAAAGTGGTTAACCAGACAATTACATCACTTCACATCAATGCAAACATTCTACCACTGGCTTATCTAATGCTGTTTTGTGTCCATTCTCTCACATCAGCCAGAAATGAAAATTACCCTTTTTAATTACAAGTTCTTCAGAAGTCATGATTCCTAATATTGCTTCTCTGATTTGCTTGTACCTAAACTAATCTGACAAGAGTCAAAACTTCTGTCTTACCTGAAGTTCAGGATAATCAGTCACTAACTTATTATAGGGATATCTCAGTGTCAAAATAGTAATGAGGTAGGGAGGGAAAGAACCATTTATGTGATGCTGCATTATTTATGCTTATTCATCACAAAGAATTTAGAGCATAAACTAGTTTTTCAGAGTTGGATACATTTATAAAATAATAGTTACCAAGTCCTTCCTGTGCTTCATTGGAAGTGGGTCAGAGGCTCATCATACTCACAGTTTTGAGCCAGGAAATATTTTAGTTAATTATGTAACTCAAGATTATATATAACCATATACATAAATGTGCGCTAAATCCTAGGACTATGCTATCATTTATTATCTCTACTGAGAAACGTTTAAGTTTATAAATAGTACAATACGGCAACATACAAATTTCAAGTCCACATTTCAATGTCACAGGATATTTCACAACAAAAATTTAACTTTAGTGTTAATCTAGAGCCCTCAGTAATATCATATGATGATACTTATTTAACATGGATATGTATTGCCAGTATTTTGTAAAAAGATATTTATCAAATACTGTGAATCAAAAGTATAATCTGTGTTTTGTTACCACAATTTATAGTGTACAAATTAACATAAAGTAAAAAACTGAGGGAGGAGGAAGTTAAGAGAGAGAAAAAAAGCTCTTGACATTTAATTATTTGCTCTTTACTTTTTATCCTAAGGTAGAATACATTATCATAAAGATAGAAACAAAAAACAGGAAACGAAAGGCTTTGCCAGAAATCACTGTAATCATTAACATAGCGCCCTTGCCATTTGTAATAACATTCATAGGAAATACAAATATTGAATAATTACATGAGTCTACTATGCCCAAAATGATGTTTTTTCCTTTATTATGCTAAATATGCAAGAAGACAAAAAAGGAAAATTATTAAAATTTTCATCTAGATTATTAAGGATTAATAGTAATTCAGTTTGGCATTTTTCCCTTGAAAAATAAGAGTAGTCTGAAAACCAACCCGTCTAACTTTTGTATAAATGGCCTACAAAAAAATGTATAAGTATGCCAAATAGTTTTGAGTCAATTTAATATGAAGATCTATTCATGGAAACACAAAAAGCAATTACAGTACAATCACTCAAAATGTCTGTACCTAAATACAATTCTATAGTGTAGATTTTTTGGATCATACTTCATCTATTATAGTTTTCCTAAGACAGTCGCTACTGTGAAAGTGATTTTAACTACTGCTTATGTATTTTCATTAAAGCATCATCATACTTACTGTAAAAGGCTTTGCAGTACCCTGGTCATCTCTACTTGAAATAATCTTTGCATTTTTTCTTGTCTCCCTCAAACGCTCTATCGATGGAGGCTTTATAAATATCACATAGGGCTTAAATTCCAGTGTCCTTAAATGCTTCACTGTCTGCAAGGAAGAGAAGGTGGTTTTTATATTTCTCCATAATGTCATGAGCAATTTTTACAATAAAACAAAATTTTCTAAGGAGAAAAATTTCTTAAAATTATTTCCTAGTCAAGGTCAGTCGAACTTTCAATATATTATTCAATCAGTTGTTGACAATTAGATGTAATAAATCCCCCTGTAAAGATGATGAAGCATGTAACTTGCTTTCAAAAAGGTTTTGAAATATGCCTGAATTAATATTGAACTGAAGCGGCTAGAAATACCATAAAACTGACTTTTAAATCAAGTCCCCTAAGACTTGGATAACGTTCTGCACTCAAAAATCTTCCAGCCATTCCAGTCTCTTCCTGACTTCAGGGATAGGCTCTCCTCTTTCCTTCTACTCTTCAAAGTGCCCCAAAAGGGCAAGCCTCCTGCTTTCCATGAAGCTTGTCGACACTCCTCCAGCCAACATTTTGTTATTTACACTGTAAGTGACAGGGGACAGATGGGCTGGCTAGGTCCTGAGAATTAGAGTTTATATCCCACAGAGGGAGTTGGGAACACGTGGTCCCAGCATACCAGCAGGGAGGTTCTGCTCAAGCAAGAATGAGTTCCGTTCATCGCTGGTGCTGGAGTCAGCTGCCCTACTGACTCCTGACTGAGTTGCAAAGGCCTTCCCCAGGCCATCCTGGCTGGTCCTTGGAGGCTTTTCACTCTGGGGTGCAGCCATCCCTGAAGTGAGAATCTGGCCCCTGGTGATGAGGACAACACTGTGGGCTAGGTTTCTGCTGGAGGCAATATGCTGTGACAATTGAATGGCTTCGTCCACTGGTACCCTCAATCCACAGTGTTCCTGCGACCTCCGAGGTGCCAGGCAGAGACCTGCCTGACAGCTGCAATAGGGCCTCATGCCATGGAGCTCCTGTGGAATGCCCTGCAGCTCTAGTTATACCCAAACCCCACATCTAGGATATATACAGAGCCTAGGACCAAAATGGCCATTGTTAAAATTATAAATATTTACAACATATAAGAATACATATAATGCAACATTTAAAAAAAATACAAAATATAGAAAAAAAAATCTAAGAGACTTGGCAAAAACTGAATATAAACAAGACTTGCAAACAGATTTGGAGGCTTTTCTTACTCCTCTTTCTACCAATAATATGGGCTTTCAGTTCACTAAAAATTTCTCAAATCGTTTTGAAATGCTTTTGTCATCTTAGCAAAACCACATCTATGCTCCAAGGGAGTAGACTTCAGATTCACTCTTGTAGTGTTTGCATCAAGCACAGTGGATTACATGGGCTGGAAGGGTAGTGAATAGTTCACTGTTTACTTACATGAGGTTGAACATCCAACAAGCAAACTTTGTTTTTAGCTAGGACAGACCGAACTGAGTCTATACTTGTGCCATAGTAGTTGTTTTTATATTCACCATATTCAATAAACCTGTAGAAAATTAGAAATGCATCAGAATCATTTATGAATTCAATATAACTCATATATGTAAAAGATATTCTTGCTGAACATGAAAATTTTTTACTGTGTTTAATAAAATAAATAGAGCCAAGTACTCCGGAATGTCAATTTAAAAAATCTTTTATTTTACATTTTTCAAATCAGTAACACTTGCTTGTATTACACTTAAGCAGACAAAAAGTATTTTAGTCCAGCAGTACACTAATGTTTTCCATCACTTCTTTTTCAGAACTAATGCAATGCTATAAAACAGTGAATAAGACAAACAATAGAAACTACTGAAATTTCACTGTGCACTACAGAATAACCAGCTTTAGAACCAGAGGAGAAACTGGTTGGTGGCTAATGGAACCAGGGTAGCCGATTATGTGCTATAAAAACATAATCGCTGTGCCAAACATGAAAAAAGCATTTTGATGTTTCAATAAAATTCCACACTCCTGTATTAAAACACACATTGCTCTCTCTAGTACCCTAAAGTAGTTCAAGCTTAAGCAAATGGAAGACCTGGGGAGAGGGCATGTAGGGGTAGCTAGAGGATATGCTTCAAGCAAGATGATTAACATTATTTCAATTTTTTGAAAAGCCAAATATTTATATAGAGAGGTATATATGTAGGAAACTGGAACTAGGGATCTATTACATAGCTGTTAGTTTTTAAAATAAAATTGAATCCAAATTATATGGTTCTTTCCCCCTGCTATTCAAATAGCAGGGGGAAAGAACCATAATAACACTATAGCAGTGGTTCTCAATCTTTTTAATACAGTTCCTCATGTTGTGGTGACTCCCAACCATAAAATTATTTTTGTTGCTACTTAAAAACTGTAATTTTGCTACTGTTAATGAATTGTAATGTAAATATCTGTGTTTTCCGATGGTCTTAGGCAACCCTGCTAATTGAGAACTGCTGCTGTAGAGTCTCAGCATTAAAAAGACTGAGGACCACTGCACTAGAGCAAGCTTCCCTCATTATTAAAAACAATTCCTATACATTTATCTTACCAGAAACATAGCAACTCTAGCCTATTAAAAATTACAACCAAAGATTGCTAATAAGTACTAATTACTACTAATTACCATCTTTTAATTGATTTAGAAAATTATAAATATTAAAATATATTTCAAATGGAAGGGAACCCTCAATTGTCTAAAACTGGATATATATGGACATACTGAAAAATAGTCACACAACCCAGCTGGTGTGGCTCAGTGGGTGAGCACTGACCTAGGAACTAAGATTACTGGTTCAATTTCTGGTCAGGGCACATGCCTGGGTTGCAGACTAGATCCCCAGTAGGGGGCATGCAGGAGGCAGCTGATCAATGTTTCTCTCATCAATGTTTCTATTTCTCTATCCCTCCTCCTATCTTTCTCTCTAAAAAAATCAATGAAGCCCTAGCAGGCTTGGCTCAGTGGATAGAACGTCGGCCTGTGGACTGAAGGGTCCCGGGTTTGATTCCAGTCAATGGCACATGCCTAGGTTGTAGGCTCAATCCCCAGTAGGGGGTGTGCAAGAGGCAGCCAATCAATGATTCTCTCTCATCACTGATGTTTCTATCTCTCTCTCCCTGTCCCTTCCTCCCTGAAATCAATAAAAAATATTAAAAATAATAAAAAATCAATAAAATCATATATTTTTTAAAACATGTAACACAAAACTATAAAAAATGTCCACTTACTTGTTATTTTGCACATCTGTCTCAAACAAATGCTTGGAGATGAAAATATATTCAACACCATCACTCTCCTGGCTTCTTCTTGCTCTGGTAGTATCTGTGATTTAATTAAGAAAAATTTAGAAAAGTCTACATCAGCCACCCTAAAGAAAATACAAAAAAGAAGCCATCCTGTATTTAATTAAAGTCGTTTTCTTAAATAAGATTAAAACCTTATAAAAGACAAATTAGTTAATAAACTATAGCAAAATGCCATTAATTTAGATTTTCTACTAATATTAAAATTATATTGATTTGAATGTGTATTCAAAATTAGATTGTATTATACCTGTACTATTACTCATTATTTTGAAGGTACTCATATGTTGGTTAAATAAAAATGCTACTTCCACCCGTGAGAAATAATTGCTGCAAATAATATACTTATTATTTTTATTCACTGGTCTTTACTTATTGAAGCAAATCTAATGCCCATTAGGGTTATAAGATAAACTCTGAAATTATTTTACTATCTTTCATATATATCATTGTTTTATTTTACTAACTAAATGAAGTCATAGACTTCTATGTGCTATTCATTCCTCTGCAAAACTAAAAACATCTTCTTGGAATACTACTGAACTTCCAAACTTTCAATAGCTTTGGTTAAAATGTTCTCTAATTAATTATAATGGAGTAGGAAAATACAGGATTAACTTGAAACAAAACAAAACAAAAAATCTAAGAAATTGCAGTGCTGACAAGGCAAGTGGAAAACAGACTACTGAAACATTGCTGCTGATTACAACTAAAAACTGGACTCAAAACAACTATGTGAATACTCTAAAAATAAATACAGCTGGTAGATTGTGAAGGAGAGTCAACTTGCATGGGGAAGAATTTAACCATTATTTCTTTTCTTTTTTGAAATATTTATCTTTTTTGTTTAAAGTATTCCAGATGTTCCCCCTTTCTTACTACATTGACCCTTCCACACCAAAAGTGAGATCATGTGATCCTTGTCTTTTTCTGCCTGGCTCATTTTGCTTAGCATATCACTCTCCAGGCACTTCCATGCTGTCTCAAATGGTAAGAGATCCTTCTTTTTTACAGCTGCAGAGTGTTCCATTGTGTAAATGTATCTCAGCTTTTTTATCCACTCACCTACTTGATGGGCACGGTTGTAAATGACACTGCTAGAACACAGGGGTGCATATGTTCTTTTGAAATAGTGTTTTGGGTTTCTTCAGATATGTTACTATTGATAGAAGTAGGATTATTGGGTCAAAAGGCAGGTCCATTTTTATATATTTGAGGAAACTCCACAAGCTGTAGCTGCATTCCCACCAGCATTGTACTAGGGCTCCCTTTTCTCCATATCCTTGCCAACACTTGTCATTTGTCGGTTTGTTGATGGTAGCCATTCTAGAAGGTGTGAGGTGATACCTCATTATCGTTTTAATTTGCATCTCTCTGATGATTAATGATGTGGAGCATATTTTCATGTCTCTTGGCCATTTATATGTCCTTTTTGGAGAAGTGTCTATTCAGGTCCTTTGCTCATTTTTTAATTGAATTTTCTGTCTTCCTTTTATTAAGTTTTATGAGTATTTTATATATTTTGAAAATTAACCCCTTATCAGATATATCATTGGTAAATATATTCTCCCATACAATGGGCTCCCTTTTTATTTTGTTGATTGTTTCTTTGCTGTGCAGAGCTTTTTAGTTTAATATAATTCCATTTGTTTACTTTTTCCTTTGTTTCTCTTGCCCTCAGTTATGTATCAATGAAAATTCTGCTATATGAGATGTCCGAACTTTTGCTGCCTATTTTTATGAGTTTACAACTTAAGTCTCATCCATTTTGAATTTATTCTTGTATATGGTATTAGTTAGTGGTCTAGTTTCATTTTTTTTACATGTATCCATTCAATTTTCCCAACACCATTTATTGAAGAGACTGTCTTGACTTCATTGTATGCTCTTCTTCTTTTCAAGTATTAATTAATCATAATAGCTTGGGTCGATTTCTGGGTTCTCTGTTCTGTTGCATTGATCTATATACATGCTCTTGTGTCAGTGCCAGGAAGTTTTGATTACAATGGATTTGTAGTATTATTTGATATTTGATTTTGTGATCCCTTCTACTTTGTTCTTCTTCCTTTTTAGCTCCATATAAATTACTGAAGTATTTGTTCTGTATCTGTGGAATATGCCTTTGGTATTTTAATAGAGAATGCTTTGAATCTATAGATTGCTTTGGGTAGTATGAAAATTTTAATGAGGCTAGTATTTCTAATACATGAACCTGGTATATGCTTTCCACTTGTTTGTATCTTCTTCTATTTATTTTTCCAACGTCCTGTATTTTTTTTCAAGTATAGGTCTTCTACTCCTTGGTTATATTTATTTCTAGGTATCATAGATTTTTTGTTGCTATGGTAAATGGGATTGTTTTTTTAGTTTCTCTTTTTGAGAGTTCATTATTAGTGTATAAAAATTTCATTGATTTCTGGATGTTAATTTTGTATTCCTGCTTCTTTGAATTTATTTATTAAATCTCATAGTTTTTTTGGTGGACTAGTTAGGGTTTCCTAAGTACAATACCATGTCATCTGCAAATAATGACAGTTTCACTTCCTCCTTTCCAATTTGGATGCCATTTATTTTTCCTTCTTGTCTGATCGCTATGGCTAAGAGTTCCAGTACTATGTTGAATAAGAATGGTGACAGCAGGCATTCCTGTCTTGTTCTTAGGGGAAACACTTTTAGTTTTTGCCCATACAGTATGATGTTAGCTGTAGGTTTGTCACATATGGCCTTTATCATGTTGAATTATGATCCTCCTATTCCCACTTTGCTGAAAAAAAATTTTTTTTTTTTATCAATAATGGTTGCTGGATTCTATAAAATGCTTTTCCTGCATCTATTGATATGATTATATGTTTTTTTAACTTTCATGTTATTTATGTAATGTATCACATTTATTGATTTGTGAATGACTAGAACTCCTCACCTACTTCACTCCTCACCTACTTCCTAACAAAAACATCAACAAGGAAACAGTGACCCTAAATGTCATACTAGATCAGACAGATTTAATTGACATTTACCGAACATTTCACTTCAAAGCTACAGAATATACATTGTCAAGTGACCCAGGACATTTTCAAAGATAGACCACATGTTAGGACACAAAATAAGTCTTTACAAATTCAAGAATAATGAAATCATAGCAAGCGTCTTCTCAGATCACAATGCCATGAAGCTAGAAATCAACTACAATAAAAACACTCAAGCCCAGCCATGGTGGTTCATTGGCTGAGTATTGACCTATGAACCAGGAGGTCATGGTTCATTCCTGATAAGGGCACATGCCTGGGTTGCGGGCTCAATCCTAGCAAAGTTTTAAGAAGTGAACTGAGATTAGAATACACAAGCATCACCTTACTCTATGAATAACAGAAGTACAGAACATATCCAAACCAATATAGTAAAGGCTTAGAGAATTGAGCTAAGAGTTGAAGTATGCACACAAGTGTGACACTAATCCCTGAACTACAGGTGATAGGGCAGACTCAAACCAACAAAGCAAAATTTAGAAAACTGAAGTGACATTTAGACTACAACTCACATAAAAGGACAGAACTTACAGCCTAAACACAAACTGATTATTTGCTAAAATAAAACATAACATTCTCCAGAATATTATAAGAGGATCTGGAGTTATTGATATATCATTGAATTCATAATATCCAGAATGCGGTTTAAAATTATTCAATATAAAAATAAATAAGAACATATGACCAATTCTCAAGGGGAAAGATAACAGATGGCAAGTCTCAGAGACCCAGAAGTAAGAACTATCAGAGAAAAACGTTAAAGCAATGGTTATAATAACTGTGCTTCACTAGGGAAAGAAAACACTGAAATAAATTAAAATATGAATTTAAACAGACTATAAAAAATGAAAGTTTAGAACTGAAATATACAATATCTTGCAGAAACATCATTAGAAAAATGTTTCTAAACTGATACCTTAGTTTATAATGAATATTTCTTTTAGAAATCTCAACTGCGGTACCCTGAGGACAAAGAAGTATACTTTGAAACCTATGAAAACACTTCAATGTGATGAGTGCCTTCCTGCAAAGCCCCGAGTGTGGTTGGTTGACGGTGCCTAAACCCAAAGTATCAAGATATGAGAATCCACCAAGTATTTGGTATTTACTGCAATACCTTATGTTAACTATTTTATTTTAATTTCCTTTTGAAAGATTGGTTATATTAATGGTCAGTTGGATTTGTTGTTGATAACCTCTAGCCTGAAAACAATATTAATGTAGCTTTCTCTGATGCAGCTTATCAAGGATGAAATTTCCCACAGAGAAGCAAGCAGGGGCTTGGCCACCACTTTGTTTAAAAGCAACTGTGAATGTTTAATACGGCCTCAAGGACAATTTTAAAAGATCATATAATTTGTTCAACCATTTTGCCCAAGAGAAATAGCATTTAACTGATTTAGCGCCCCTTTAAATAGCCTTTTGAAATTGAAATAATTATAGAGTCACAAAAAATTGTAAAAAATGGCACAAACCACCCCTCAGCTTCCTCCAGTGAGGGAGGCTTTAGTCTTCCATAACTGCAGTGCATGTCAAGACCAGAAAATCAGCCGGGACCGGTTTGGCTCAGTGGATAGAGCGTCGGCCTGCGGACTGAAAGGTCCCGGGTTCGATTCCGGGCAAGGGCATGTACCTTGGTTGCGGGCACATCCCCGGTGGAGGGTGTGCAAGAGGCAGCTGATCGATGATTCTCTCTCATCGATGTTTCTAACTCTCTATCTCTCTCTCTTCCTCTCTGTGAAAAATCAATAAAATATATTATAAAAGAAAAATTCTTAAAGACCAGAAAATCAACATCAGCAAACTCCAACTGACTAAACTACCAAGAATTCTTATTTAACATTTAAAAACCTAAAGTATGATAGATAGAAAAATTCTCACGTAAGCTTTGATGACTTTTCAGATCGAACACACCCAGGTAACCAGCACACGAGCAAGAAGCAGATTTGCCAGTGCTCCAGAATCGCCCTTCCCATCTGCCCCCTCAAGATTTCTAACAGCACACAGGCGCACTGCTTTTGTTGTTTTTATAAAACAGAGCCATACTGCACATTCTCTTTTATGTCTGCCTTCTTTCATTCACCATGATGTTGGTGGGGTTCATACATATTATTGCATTTAGTAGCATATTGTTACAGTATCCCAGGGTGTGGAAATACCATCATTTATTTAACCAATCCCCTACTAGTGAGCATTTGGGTAGTTTCCAGTTTTGAGCTTTTATGAATAGTATTTCTAAGAGTATCAAAGTACACATAATATGCATTTCTGCTGAGTGTTTAATAGGAGTGGAATTGCTAGGTCACTAGATATGTGTGTGCTCAGCTTTAGTAAATAGATATGGCCACTTAATTTCTCAAAGTAGTTGAATTAATTTACACTCCCACCAGCAATGTATGTTGAGTTCCATTGCTCCATAATATTTCAGTTTACCCATTCTGGTAAATGAGTTAAGAATACTGGTAGAATAACCAAAGCAGTAATTTTTCTCTAACTAATCAAAACTTTATCTAAAATATTTTATAAAGCAAAACAATATAAAATTCCAAAAATGCTCTTAAAACAACTTATGTGATTAATCAAATCACACTGAGTTGATGGTGTGGCTATATTTGCCAAAGATATCTGATATTATGAATTGCCTGGGATGGTTGCTGAAAGTACAGATTTTCAGAAAATCTGTGTGATCTCCCGAGGGAGAACCTTTTTGGAAAGACCTTGGCATCTTTTCAGAAGAACCCCTAAAGGATTCTTATTGTTAGGCAGGTATGGAAAACACTGCCATAGGGGAATCTTTTGACATTAACTGTTTTAAATTACTACTTTGGGGATTTCTTTGGAAAGTCCCAGCCTCAGAAACTTTCTGCATGTTGTCAAGTTCTATAATAACTTTAGAGGCAAATATTTTAATAAACTGAGGCCAAAGTGCCTTGCCCTAGGTCCTTTAGTAATAGCAAAACCATTAGAGAAGGTTATGTTTGATAGACAGCATTATTGATAGTTCCAGTCTTCAAAAGAAAACAGTTTTCCCTACTAACTGAGCTACAAGAAAAGAGAATTTGTAGTTTGAAAGGATCGCACAGTATTATATAGGAGGCAGAACATGAAAAGTGGTTCAATAAAACCTGGTTTCAAATTTAAGTGCAACTAATTCCTACAGAACTCTGAGTGAATAGAAGTATCCTTTCTACCCTGTTTTCTTCTCTAAAATGGAGATATCAGTTGTCTTTACTGCTGTTGGCAGCACAAAATAAAGACAAGAGATGAGTTACACAGTAGGAAATTAATAAATTTCTTTTGTAATATTGTTTTCCATTCTCTTTTGTAATTGTTTACCTATAAGCTTCACTAAGGGAATGTTTTGTAAAATTTTCTAATGACCCGTATATTGCAACTCAGCTTTTGTAAGAGAGGTGAATAATTAAAGTAAAAAAAAGAAAGAAAGAAACGGTTTAATTCCACATTTTCCTTTACTTTCATCTCTGTTGATGGAAACTGTCAGTCCTATAACTTATGGCTGAAAATGATTACAAACAATAATTTGGAAAAATGTAGTAACAAGGAATAACTTGAGGTAATAGAAAACTATAATTTTAAAATAAAGTTGAACTCTTCCAAAACTAGAGAACATTGCTGAGGGCTATATACAAATGGCTTTAAAAAACAGTACTGAAACCATTTGAAGAAAGCCAACATTTCAATTTAGTCTTTTAGATGACTTTCTAACATCAACATATTAAGTAGTCAAATGGCATTTATTCTGATGATCAAAATGCTTCCAGAATCACATTTTATTTGCAAGAATGCCTGTGAAAACAAAACCCCTTTCATAAAAATAGATCTAATCCTATGTACAGAAAAGAAGCTTACCATATTTGGCTTATATGGCTATGAAAGGCCCATTTCACACTATCTGCCAATTACTACATATAAAAAGTAATTAAGAAGGTTTATATTATAAGAAGCCTCCTTCAGCTCTGTGCGGTTTGGTCCTTCTAATCTTAAAGCCGGGGAAAACTCTGGAAAACATTAGCACTTATTTTAGGAAATAGAATAGCTAGACTTATATTTAAAAAATTTTTGTAAATAATTTAATGTCATATGTGTATTAAAATTCATCATAAATATTGAGCATAAGAAAGCTATAATTAACAAAAATTCAGGTCAATGATCTGCATAAATCTGGGGCAAATCCTTCAACTGTTATCTCGTGCCTCGGTTTCCTTCTAAGTCAAAAGTGGGTAATGTCACTACATACTTCATAGGGCTGCTGTGAGTCTAGATGGGAAATGCTTAGCAGAGTGCTTGGTGCCATGCTATGTGGGCACTGAGTGGTCGTTAGTAGAGCATCCTAGTAGCTCTGAACAGGACAGAACTTACGGGGCACTGTCACACCATAGTGCTGTGTATCACTGATCAGCAGCTTTCGTTTCAGTTCATTCAAACCTACACCTACAGGACCTGAAAAACAGAATAATATAAATTCATTACTATACAAAATAGCATGTGAACATTTCTATACTTAACACTCATCCATAGACATAGAACGTGGTTCTTCTTTACATGCATCCCAAATGAAGAGATTCTTTAGTTGATTTGTACATAAGAAAAAGCTACCGTATTTTTCGGACCATAAGACGCACTTTTTCCCCCGGGGGGAAAAAGTCCCTGCGTCTTATGGTCCAAATATAGCCTACACATATACTTTAAAAAAAAAGTTTTTTTACTTGCCCAGCTCTGTGTGGTCTCTGTGTGCTTGCCCGGCTCTAAAATGGTTCTAAATGCTGCTGTTTACTTTACAGGGTTGATTACATGTGTTTATGACTGTGATGTTGGGTTTTAATGCACATAAAATATTTTAGGACACTATTTGTTTCAGAATCTTTTTTTCTTCATTTCCCTTCTCTAAAAACTGGTGAGTCTTATGGTCCAGAGCGTCTTATGGTCCGAAAAATACGGTAGTTGTTTTGTTGCTATTTTTTACTTTTAAAATTGTATCCCCCACCTTTCCATTAAAAGATTAGCAATATTTATGCTTTAAATGAAACATATGTAAGAATATCTGTGTATATTACCAAGTAATGGTATCCAAAAAAGACTAAAAATAATATGTTCACCTAAAAAAAAAAAACCCAGAATTTTTCAAACTATTATCTACCATCTGGATAGTGATAATTTCAATTTTTAATGTTTTTAGATCTAGTTAAATAAAATCTTTAAATTTAAATTTTATTTTAGATGCAAATCTAATGATGCATTTTAAATCTGCAAAACTATCAGCCACATTTACATTTGTTAAGATCTTCTACAATATGTATTTTCAGTTGGTCCTTAAACATTTAAAAACTTGTGTAGAGCTTGCATATTTAAATCAAGCAATGAATATATACTAAACACAATGAACCAGGCATATAGTAAATGCTGTGGAGAATAAAAGATGATAAAATAACTGGTTTCTTTTCTTTTCTCTTCTTTTCTTTTCTTTTCTTTTCTTTTCTTTTCTTTTCTTTTCTTTTCTTTTTTAATCCTCAGTATCCTGAGGATACTTTCCCATTGATATTTAGAGAGAGTAGAAGAGAGAGGGAAAGTCAGAGAGGAACATCCATGTGAGAAAAACACGTAGACTGGTTGCCTCCTGAACAAGCCTGGCCAAGGGCAGGGCCGGGGAGGAGCCTGCAACTGAGGTATGTGCCCTTGTCTGGAATCGACCCAGGACCCTTTGGTCCATAGGCTGATGGACCAAACGAGTTAGGGCAGACTCTGTTTTCAAAGAAAGAAACTGAGTTAAAGGAGTAATAGGAAATTATTAAGAAAGAGACTAAGGCCCAAAACAAAGAGCAGCTTCAAATCTGAGTCAAATCAGAAGTTAGAAGAGCACAAAGTCCACATGGCCAGCTTCTCACACCTCTGCTGTGAGGGTCTATTTCATGACAGTGTCTTGTATTGGGCAGAATACAAGCTGCAGAGCCAGATGGCCCTGAGTTCGAGTTCCACCTTTGTTACTTCCTTACCTGCCGATACTGAATGTTGTGATCTGAATGTGCGTGTCACCCTTCAAATTCACATGTTGTAATCCTAATGCTCAATGTGATGGTGCATAAAGGTTGGGTTTTAGGAGGCGATTTAGTCATAAGGGTAGAGCCCTCATGAATGGGATTAGTGCTCTTATAAAAGAGATGTCCCAGAGCTCCCTTGCTCCTTCAGCCATGATGATACAATGAGGCATTTGTGACCTGAAAGAGGGTCACCCACCATGCTGACATCCTAATCTCCAGAACTGAAAAATAAATATGTGGTATGTTGTTATAGAAGCTGAAACAAACTAAGACAATGGACAAGCTTTTGAGCCTGATCAGACTTCATTCTAATTCTAAAAGTAACTATGCTTCCTTTTTGGGAGGGATAAATGAAAAATTATGTGTAGTGTCTAACACAGAATCCAGGTATTCAAGTGTTCATGCTCTTGTCTATTTCCTCTGGTAAGCTTTGAAAAGAATAAGGTTTCATGCCAGATAATGGAGAACATATACATGTCAGAGAAGATGAAGGTAGATACTCCAGGTAGAGGGAAAAGAGTGAGCAATGATATAGAGGCCAGAGTTGGGGACTGTGCCTTTCTAGCTCTAATGCTATTTCTAGGCACCTGCCCTCTGTATCAAAGAATGCCCTCTGATGGCCATCCACTACCACCTTCTACCTTTCCACAAATTGTTCTCTGACAACTTCCCCTGCTTCTTGTCTAAAACAGCACTTCTCAATTCTCTCTTTTCATAGTAAATGCACTGCAATATCCCATTTGTATTCTAAATGGACTTCACGGCTAATATAACATATAAGTACATATAATTCCTCCTTCCAAATTAATATAATGCCCTAACTGTAAAAGATGAAATATAAAAATGTAATTTATGACAAAATAATCTGTATTTACTTTTGTGCATTGTTAGTAACTCACTAATTAAATGCAACCATGAGAGAGAGAAATATTAATAAAAGAGAACCATTGATCAGCTGCCTCCAACATGCACCTCCAACCCCCGAGGGATGGAGCCTGGACCTGGGCATTTGCCCAGCCTGGGAATCTAACCGTGACCTCCTGGTTCATGGGTTGACGTCCAATCCCTGAGCCAAACCAGCCAGGCATAACTCACTCTTGAAAGTAGGAAACAGTGTTGTATGTGATTTTATATAAACATTCATTTACTTCAACCAAAGAAAAATAGTCCACTTAGGGTATCAATTAAATGATGCTAAAGTTTCTCATTAAAAGTTTACACTTAAAAAAAAAAAAGTCACATTAACTACAAAAAATGGCTTTAATTTTATCTGAAGGAGAAAAAAATTTAAAAATCCATATGTAAATTCCTGGTCTTCATATAGGAGCATTTAGACATGTACTGCTTTAAAATATCACTATCATAATCCTAAATTTAAAAAAGGTTTATGACCAAAGTTTGCACTTTCGGTGTTTTAATCATCTACTTATTTGTGTGTTAAGTGCAGATGCTGAGTGAGTGATTATGATTATGTACTAGAACAATAATGTATTACTACTGTGAATATAATTTTAATAAAGTGTGGTATATACAGTATATATTTTTAATGACACTCATACAAGTCTACAAAGAGTAATTTTTATTTGTAAATATCTGGCATAAAACTTAGTTGTAGTTTTTCTTAAGGCTGATGAGCATCAAACTGAATCTAATAATGTAAACACACATAAAAAAACAGTAACCATGCTGAAGATTATAGTGTTAATAATCTGTTAGGAAAGGAACTTCTGAGAAAGGGAAATACAGGTAGGTGTAAATAGGCCAAGTTTGTTGTAACACGCTAGATATTCATGTAACCGTCATAATGGATTAATGATAAAATACATTCTTATTTGGACTTATGTCCAATGTTAAATTATTTATTAGAAAGAAATCTGTTGTTCTGACCAAGCACTATTCATTTTTGCTACTGATCTTCATACATCTTGGCACAAACATAAAAATGGCATATTAGCCTAGCCAGTGTTAACCAGTGGTTAAGTGTCAACCCATGAAGGAAGAGGCCATTGGTTTGATTCTGATCAGGGTACATGCCTGCGTTGTGGGCTCAATCCTCAGTCGGAGGCGTACAGGAGATTTTTGTAATATTGGCCAGACTTGTTACTCTTTTTAAAAAATATATATATTTTATTGATTTTTTACAGAGAGGAAGAGAGAGGAATAGAGACTTAGAAACATTGATGAGAGAGAATCATCAATCAATCGCTTCTTGCACACCCCCTACTGGGGATGTGCCCGCAACCAAGGTACATGCCCTTGACCGGAATTGAACCCGGGACATTTCAGTCCGCAGACCGACGCTCTACCACTGAGCCAAACTGGTTTCGGCCAGACTTGTTACTCTTACCATCCAGAGAAAAATACCAGAATTACTGAAATGTGCAATAAATATCCAAACTGCTTTTGTTACCTAAAAAACACACTTACTCATTTGATTTACTGAAGGACAAATCAAGCGAAATCTCTAGGTATTGCTCAGATCAGATACATGTAAAAAGTCTACTTATCATATTGTAGCACTATTTTTATTGCTCAAGCATAAAATAAAAACAACCATACTATTACCCTGTTTCCCCGAAAATAAGACAGTGTCTTATATTAATTTTTTCTCCCCAAGTTGCACTAGGTCTTATTTTCAGGGGATGTCTTATCTTTCCATGCGCTAGATCTTATTTTTGGAGGATGCCTTATTTTGGGGGAAACACGGGTATATCTGACTTGCAGTCTTATAATAATCACGGTAATAGGTGGCTGTATTTTTGGACTGGAGAGGGACAAAACTGTTTACAACATGAAATTTAAAGTTCCCTGGGAATCAATCTGAATAGAAAATGTAGCAACTTAGCAACAAGCCCTGATAGAGGCCCAGATTTTCTTTCCTCTGTCAGGGTGAGGGTGGCAGGGGTGGCCGGGGGGAGTGCTATCAATGAAGTATCACCTGAATGCTACTGTCAAAAAAAAAAGAAGAAAAAGGGAGTGGGAGCTTGTTGAAAGAGCATCACTTTTCCAAAGCAGCTATTTATTCTAGACTTACATAAACCAAGGCCTATCTCACTTCTTCTACCTCAGGGCTATGACAAAAGTGCAAAATTAAAAGATAAAGATAAAACCACCCATCTTCCTTAGCCAAGCAGAAGAGAGCATGGACAACTTCTTTACTTCAAGAATCTGTTAAAAATTTTGACCTTTCCAATGAGGTACCAGGATCTTCTGATTCAAAATCACAAATTACTGATTCCTCCAAATCCTTTGGCTTTAACTATCTTCTTTTTAATTTATTTTTTTAATTTAAATTGTATTAAATTTATTGGGGTAACACTTATTATTCAGCTTCTACAGCATATATCACACTTGAACAACTATACAACTGAATTTATTATTTATTACTAATTTATTATGAATTTTTTGGTGTATCTCCTACCATTAGAATGTAAACACCACAAGGGCACGAATGTTTGTGTTGTTCCCCAACAAACCCTCGTGCTGAGGAAGTAGCTGATCCAGTAGGTACTACATAGAAATCAGCTGAATAAACATAACTGTAATTGGTGCCCAGAAATTAAGCTGGAGTATAAACACTTAAGACCAACCGATGTCATAAAGAGCCTATGAGATTCTAATAAAGATCATATTTATGTCTTATATGCAAGGATTATATTTTTAAATCCATCCCACACTCATAAATCCAACAATGACTCTGGGATTTACAGGTGCCTGTATACGTAAAACCCTCTAGAGCAGAGTAACTCCTACAAGCCTTCAATCAAAGGTCAACTAAAGCTTTGGGAATTCTAACAAACATTAACACTCACGTTTAGTTTTGAGTTACTTTTCTCTCTGCTTTATGTGAGATACCTTTTAGTTTTGCTATAGTTTTATGGAAAAATTATGACAGTCTTATAAATGTCTATTCAAACCACCTCACAGTCTTTGCCCAGCATATAAAAGTCAGCACAAAGGAGGCCAGAGCAGTACTTAGTGCTCAAACTAAGAACATAAAACATAAATAAACGTTTATTTTTGCTTCTTATGCTTTGTAACCAAGCAGAACAAGTCACAAATTGTCTGAATATCCACAGATGAATTTTTGCTCTTCTATTGTCTTACGATATGTTTTAGTTTTTGAACACTAAAGCTTTCTTAATGCTCCTTCCCCTGCAAACACACATTACTTTACTTTTTAAAAGTTAAGTTTCACTAAAGATAAAACTTATGTAGAAAAATGTACTAATGTACATTTGGTCTTAACATACTTTTTGGAAAATACTTTAAATGCAGAAGCGAATATAACACAAACTGTCACTGAAATGTTTTAGTGGCTGAAATGTGATTTTGGAAATGAAATACTTCTGATCAAGCTCAAAGTTCTCCACATATTTTTGCCATGTTAATAACTTGTTAGATTTTAATTTCTTGAACATTAAGTCCAAGAATAAAAATAATGCAATACAGGGAAAATAAAAACTATGTACCTTCTTAACAATCTATATATACATAACCCTGAGTGACCAGTCTACCACTTGACCAGTTGAGTGTTTCACCAGTCACTATGACATGCACTGACCACCGGGGTCAACACAGGAGATGCCCCCTGGTGGTCAGTGTGCTCCCACCCTACAGTCCACAGTGGGAGCGCCACTCAGCTGATCAAGGGGCACCTGCCAGCTAGTGTCTGTGGCAGCATGAGTCTCTCCCACCTCCACAGTAGTGCTACTGAGCAGCGGCAGAGGCAAGCGCTGTGGGGCGGAATGAGAGGGAGTGGTGCAGCGCTTGGCCTGGGCTCAGGCTCCTCCCTGGCTATCTGCTGCTTCACACACTACTACATCCCCTAAGCCTAAGGGGTCCCAGATTGCGAGAGGGTGCAGGTGAGGCTAAGGGACCCCACAGGTGCACGAATCCATGCACCAGGCCTCTAGTATTTATCTAATAGTTTCAAAGCAAACACAATTATTCCCAATGGCTTTGAAAACACTGAGAAAAACAAATTAATCTTGAGGAGGACCAGGATGCTAATACACTTTCCATACTCCTACACTTGTTGTAAGAGCCAAGGAACTATTTCCTAAGTACAGTATATGATTTCTACAATAATGAAAAGTAAATAGTCAATTCAGAAACAATCTAGAACTTCCAAAATTCAAGTCTACTGCTTGATTCCCTTTTAGATGATAAATTGCTTAATAATCTAATTTAATTTATGTGTTTGGGACACTAATGATCAAAATGAGCAGAAGCCTATTCATATTTTAACATTTCATGTTCAACTTATATTTTTAGTTAAAATAGAAGAGTTTTGTTTATTAAAACCTAACTGAGGTAGTAGGAATTGATCTCAGTCTTTGCAAATACTATTTCATTTAACACTCAAACAAACTTATAAAGCAGATGCTCTTATTGTCCTAATTTTTCAGATGAAGAAAAAAAATGCCCCCCCAAAATTTGAAATGTTCAGGTGTCACATGGTTATGAAAGAGCAGAACTGGCTGGAAGGCAGCCTGTTTCTCACTGTCTCTTCCACCCACCTCACAGGATGTAATAGACTCTAGAAAATAAACTCTAAAAGTCTAATACTACAAATGTGCTACACAACCAAGCTAAAAGCTTTTCTGGACAATGACTACACAGAAGGAAGTGAATAACAGGAAATACTTTTGAAGAATAGTTATATTAATATTACAACCCTGGCTGTCGCTTTTCACTACAGAAGATCATGCTCCAAAAAGGTCACAGGGATGGAAAGGATAGGATTAAAGACTGGCTGGGTGGCTCAGCTGGAGCAACATCCTGTGCACCAAAAAAAATTTGTGGGTTTGATTCCCTGTTAGGGCACATGCCTTGGTCGTGGGTTTGATCCCTAGTCAGGGTGCATATAGGAGACAACTGATCAATGTTTCTCTCTCACATCCATGTTTCTCTCTATCGTTCCCTTCCTCTCTTTAGAATCAATAAAAACATATCTTTGGGTAAGGACTAAAACACACACACAATTAAATCACTTTCCAAAAGGGTTGGATTAAAAAATTAAAAATTATATTATACCAGAAAGTGCTCCAAAATAGGGAAATAAAGTGTTAGGGGCTAAAGACTTTCTTATAAGAATCCTATATAATAAAGAGGTAATAGGCAAATTGACCTTCACACCCTTGCACAAAAAGACTGACCCCATTTGGTCAAAGATGGCTGGCAGGGGAGGGTAGTTGTGGGCAATCAGGCCACCAGGGGAGGGCAGTTAGGGGTGACCAGGCCTGCGGGGGCTGGGCAGTTGGAAGGGGGCCAAGCCTGCATTTAACAAACAAACCTAGAAAGAAGATGCTCTTATTGTCTTCACTTTTCAAATGAAGAAAAAAATGCCCCAAGAAAATCTGAAATGTTCAGTTGTCACATGGTTACAGAAGAGCGGAACTGGCTGGAAGGCAGCCTGCCTTGTCCCAGAGACCTGTTTTCACTGTCTCCACCACCTCACACCAAGGGCAGTCGGGGGTGGAGGGACCAGACCTATAAGGGAGGGCAGTTAAGGGGGACCAAGTCTGCAGGGGAAGGTAGTTGGGAGGGATAAGGCCTGCAGGAGAGGTGTGTTGGGGACAATCGGCTGGCAGGGGAGCAGTTAGGCATCAATCAGGCTGGCAGGAGAGTGATTAGGGGATGATCATACTGGCAGGCAGGCAGGCAGTTGGGAGCCAGCAGTCCCAGATTGAAGAGGGTGCAGGCTGAGCTGAGGGTTAACTACTCCACCCCCCCCAGTGCACAAATTTCATGCACCAAGCCTCTAGTCTTATAACACAAGCTGAAAATATAATAAATCAATATGAAGCAGACATACCGAGTCTAAAATATCACTGAACAAATCCTGAACAGCAAATTAAGACAAAACTAAAGGCTTTAAAATCATCATTTAAGCACATGATAACAAAGTACAAAATAAGTGTGATATCAAAATAAATTGCAGCCAGTTTACAGCCACCAACAAAAGAAGGTAATGGCAACTGAACTCATTTCAACAGAGCAACTAGGCTACCTGTGTGCACAGCCTCCCGACATTTGCTTTATAACCAATAATAGTAGTAGCTGAAAAGCAAAAGGCACTCCAGAATCAGCCTGGGTATCTGGGAACGTGGGAGAGATCAGAAACTATGCTAACAAGATCCCCAGCTGACTCAAAGTGTGTAAGTTTGAGAAGCCCTGGAGTTGAGGCTGGAGGCCTGTGGGAAAGGGGAGGGGCGGGAGGGCTCCTCCCTCTGAGCAGGGACGCGGATGCTGTCTCTGCCATAAAAACCTATTGAGAGGCAGCCTGGAGTCTGAGCAGAGACTAAAGTCAAGCTGGCCTTTCCCTGGTGACTGGGAGGACCACCCCAGGTGGACTGCCCAACAAGTGAACTGAGTGGAGAGGGATAAAAAACAAGGAAAATCAGCCTGGGATACTTTGGAATAGTTGGTGAATTTTAAGGAGAGCGAAAGTAAGACAGTAATGATAAGTGCAATGCATGGCCATGCCATCCACAGTGCAGCAAAGGCAAAGCACGGCCAACATCTGCTGATCTGCCTGAGGGAGGCCCTATGTGGAAATACTCAGCTCGGCGCCCTGAAGGGGGATGGCTCTATGTGAACAGCGGGTGAGACTTTTTAGCTGGAAACTTCAAGTGAGATGTTCTTTGAAGTGAAACTTTTACTACCTCATTTGTTTCATCCGAATTACACACAAACACAGACACTTACCAACCAAGACAACAAGCCGGTATTTTTCATTCATTTGTCGCCGATATGGGGTTACTTCCTCATATGTGGGTACGTCAGCTGTATCATATTGATCACTCTTCTTACATTCATACATGGATTTATTTGTTTTCTTATCTTTTCTACTTAGACGGAAACTTCTTCTAAAGCCAGCTGTAAACAGGAAAAAAAAATTATTTCTAGTAATAAGAACTAAAAAAAGAAACTCCCTCAAAAAACAAAAATAAAAACCCCTCAAAGTTGGCTCAGATTTTTGTTACACCATATTATTGTTATAAGTGCACTTAGTAAGAGAATAAAAATAAATGCTACACAATTTCATTAAAATAACAATTTATAAAAGAATTATCTAACATTTAAATATATAGCTATAATGACAAATTTTATTTGGTTCTAAATCATAAAAGTTTTCTTCAGAAAACAATGAGTAAAATAACTGCGTTATAAAGCATAATAAGTCAGAAAGCATAGGATAATTTATCAGGGACTCATTGATGAACACATTTGATAAGAATAAATTTAAAGCACTTTAAAAACATTTTCAATATAAATGATGGGTTCTCTCATTCATAAACACTGGAATATTTCATGTCATACTCAAAGCATAGACTAACAACATACCTGGGGCACAGACAGGATCTACTGTTAAGAAAGAAAACTAAATTAGGGAAAGCATAGTGTCAAACAGGCCTATGTGTGGGATCAGGCTGATAGAAAACTATCCTGTTCCTAAAAGCAAGTTATTTAACTTCCATGAGATTCCAGGGGAATGGAACCATGGACCCAGCTGCCTCAGGTCTTCTTCTATGGAAGCTCTGTGTATTAATGATCTGAAGCCTACTGAAATTTGAAAATGTTTCATAGTTTCAATTGTGTACTCATCAACAGGTCATAAAATCTTTTGCTAAGATAACTTCTTAAGTATTTAAATAAATATCATGTCTGCTTAAAACATCCTCTCAAACTCACTGCTATCACTTAAAGAGTTCCTTTCCGCAGTCAATTCCCATTTCATTCTGATTGATTTTCATGTTGCAGTATTCTGGTTTTATTTCTTTTCTAGAATAGTGACATTTATCATATGCATCACTCAAGAACTCATAAGCTGTGCAATCAACTCTTAACCAAACCAACCTTTATACTTTCTCAAAAATCCAGATTTTAAGAGAGAGAAAAGAGCCTACTTATCAAAACATATACTATCTAATAAAAGAGTAATATGCAAATTGACCATCACAACAAGACACAAGATGGCTGCCCCCATGTGGACACAAGATGACCACCAAAAGATGGCCTGCAGGGGAGGAAAGTTGTGGGAAGTTAGGGGTGACTAGGCCAGTAGAGGAGGGCAGTTGGGGGAAACCAGGCCAGCAAGGAAAGGCAATTGGGGGGGGGGGGCAGGCCTGCAGGGGAGGGCAGTTGGGGGCAACTAGGCCTGCAGGGGAGGGCATTTTGGGGGAGCAGGCCTACAGCAGAGGGCAGCTGATGGGGGTCAGGCCTGCAGAAAATAGCAGTTGGGGGGACCAGGCCTGGAGGGGAGAGCAGTTGGGGCACTCAGGCCAGCAGGGAGGGCAGTTAGGGGTAACTGGGTCAGCAGAGGAGGGCAGTTGGGGGAGACCAGGCCAGCAGAGGAGGGCAGTTGAGGGCAACTAGGCTTAAAGGGAAGGGCAGTTGCAGGGGGATCAGGCCTATAGCAGAGGGCAGTTGGGGGGATCAGGCCTGCAGGGAAGAGCAGTTGTGGGCAATCAGGCCAGCAGGGAGGGCAGTTAGGGGTGACCAGGCTAGCAGAGGAGGGCAGTTGGGGGAGATCAGGCTAGCAGGGGAGGGCAGTTGGGGGGGGGGGGAGCCAGGCCTGCAGGGGAGAGCAATTGGGGGAGACCAGGCCTGCAGGGTAGGGCAGTTGGGGGAGACCCGGCCAGCAGGGGAGGTCAGTTGGGTGCCAGCAGTCTTGGATTGTGAGAGGGATCTCTGACCACCTGTTTAGGCCTGATCCCTATGGGGCAACTAGGCCTGCTCCCTATGGGATCGGGCCTAAATGGGTGGGCAGATATCCCTCAAGGTGTCCCAGATTGGAGAGGGTGAAGGCTGGGCTGAGGGACATCCCCACCCCGTGCAAAAATTTGTGCACTGGGCCTCTAGTACTAGTATATTCTGCATCAGCTCTATAGTACAAAACAATATATATGTACTATATATCTATTTTAAAGACTTTTTTTTACATTACTCTTTTTAAAATTTTTTAAAATTAATTTCAGAGAGGAAGGAAGAGGGAGAGAGAGAGAGAAACATCAATGATGAGAGAAAATCATTGATCGGCTGCCTCCTGCAAGCTCCACCACTGGGAATCAAGCTGCAACCCAGGCGTGTGCCCTAACTGGGAATAAAACTTCCTGGTTCACAGGTCGACACTCAACCACTGAGCCACACTGGTCCTGTCCAACCATATTTTTAAATATATTCTCTTTAAAAAGAATATTGATTGAGTGTGACATAGAGAAAACTTTAAAAATAAAGTTATTTTATAACAAAATATAAGACTATAATAACTAATATATGTGAATTTTAGGGACCATACAGAAAAAGAATAGTTATTAGCATTGGATTTAAGAAGTTAATAGGATTCAAAATAAAGGCACTATTAAAAAACAATTATCAATGACTAGGGAGTTATATGACTCACAGAATCAACTTAATAAAAATCAACCAGTATATTGAGAATAGAATGAAAAAGATAATCTGATAATATATTTCTGTGGACCACCAATAGTCATTCTGATTTTGAGGAAACACTCAAGATTTATTTGAGGGGAAACATTTACAAAGAATTTTAAACAAGGAAGATAATTGCTCTAAAGCTCTTTGATCAAAGAGAAGAAAGTGAACAGGGTAAGTGATGAAACACATTGGTACTTTATATAAGATGAAATTTGAGATAAGCAAAAGGGGCACTGTGCCATCCTGCTCCTGAGAGGAAGAAAAGATGTGTGAATTCTAAAATCCCACATGCAGACACAATTCAGACTTCTGTGTAAAGGGTCAGAGGACACACTGCACATTAATTTTTTCTCTCTGTTTTCTAGGATATTGGGAAAGAACCCATTAAAGGGAGCCCTACATATATCTCAGAGTCATTGCAACACCACACCAGAAATAACCGAGATTCTTGCTACTTCCAATGCTTTAGCAGAGTGGTTTCTAGTCAGTGGTTTCTGCCTAATTTGCAGAAATTACTTATCCAATCCCAGTCCCACCCTAACTCTGTTACCTATGACTGCTGGCCAAGACTGGAATCCGAGTAATGGGATAGTTTCTGGTTTAGCAGAAAAATGACACATTAGTTTTCCTAACTTTTCTATGCTGGTATTTATTGTTCTAATTTCATGTTTCTATGGTTCTTATCTCCAGAAAGGCAATCTAATATATAAATATCAGGGTTGTAATGACTGATCATGACTGAACGCTGAGGAACCCAGAAGTCCTTAGTCAGCACTGGGTTGCCAGGGCAACCCAGCGCTGACTGCCCAGGTGGCTGAGACCCAGAAAGTGAGTCAGGGTCTGATCTTCAGTCTCAGTGGAAGCTATTGCCTCTCTTTCTCTCCCTCTTTCTTTCTGAGCTTCATTAGCAGCTGAGCTTTTCTTTTTCTCCTGGCCTCTGCTGGGGCTGCTGCTAAGCCCTGCTGCTCTGATCAGACCTAGAGATATGTCCAGAGATGCTGACTGGCTTAGAAACTGACCAATCAGAACCAATGTGGGTGCTTCGAAGGACCAATGGCTACCTATGAGACAGAGCTTTTGATGCCAACTGGCATAGAAATCAACCAATCAGAACCAAATTTGGGTGCTGTGGGGAGCCAATAGTTGCCTAGGAGGCAGAGCTTTTGATGCTGACAATGGAAACTGACTGATCATAACCAAATTGTTGGCAGGGGAGGGCCATTGGAAGTGAGATCAGGCTAGCAGAGGGGACAGTTGGGGGCAATCAGCCTGTCAGTGAAGGGCAGTTAGGGGTGATCAGGCTGGCAGGCAGAGGCAGGGGCAATCAGGCAGGCAGGCAGGTAAGCAGTTAGGAGCCAATGGTGCTAGATTGCGTGAGGGATGTCCGACTGCTGGTTTAGGCCCGACCCCAGGATCAGGCCTAAACCAGCAGTCAGACATCCCCCAAAGGATCCCCAGTTAGAGAGGGTGCAGGCTGAGCTGAGGGAACCACCTATTCCGTGCACGACTTTAGTGCACCAGACCTCTAGTTATAAGATAAGCAGGTAGAACTAGAAATGACCTTCACAATCATTCCTGGTATGGAGGGAGGGTTTTCTTTGCCACTACAACTTTTGGCACAGGAATAGTTCTAACTAGGTCATAAATGTCTCATCCAAAGCAAATAAAGTCCAAATGTGAAAACCTGAAATTTTTCTGATCCACAAATCACAGATAAATCCCGAATTTCAATGAAAGTATTAATTTAACTGGGTCTTTATCATTATCTGAAGTTTTTGCTTTCATTGTAAATAATAAAGGGATAGTGGATAAAAGAAAGAAGTAAACAGATTTGTAATGTGAGGATCTTTGGACATCAAAGATGGGGACCAAAGGATGGTTTGGTGATGTTAGCTGTATCTGGTTGTTACAGAACAAGTGCTTGGTAAAAGTTTACTAAATTAAACTTAAAAAAGCAACAACAAAAACCCTACTATCATTCCAGTTTCATTTTGTTATGTAAATTTCAACACAGAAAGGACACATTTGATATTTTCACAAGAAAAAATTCCAAAAGGTAGACAAAAGGAGAGAACATTGCAAGCCCCAAGGCTTAGCACTGGAAGGAACCCTGATGCCCTGCTCCCTGGCCAGAACACTCAGTACTGTCAGTGCACTGGCTCCCACACCATGACAAGGTCCTGACCTCATTCACATGCACTTTCTCGGTGGTGACTATCAAGCAAAGAAATGCCCATGGTTATGAGCTTCAGTGCTGGTGCCTTGCCTAATATGCTCCTTTACAAAACAAAGAAAAGGCAATCAGATCACCACATGGATTCTATCACAGTAGCAACATCACTGGGTGTTGAAGCAAAAGACAAAAGGGAGACAAGTCTGCTCTGCTCTGCTGGCTTACCAGCTGTATGACTTGCCAACTTTTAAAAAATATCTCTAGG